TATGCTAATTACAGAAACTGGACACCAATGACTACTATGCATATTACTTGAAGGGAAATCCATGTTCTTCCGTTATAGGCTAAAAATAGACATATCTCAGAATATGTGGAATAATGACTATTTTCTATCATTTAGAAGCTCCACTAAAACAGAAGTGACAAACATACTGCTCTTATTAATATTTCATCAGTTAGAACAAGGGATAATACAATAATTCACACAATATTGAGGGTAGGCTTTCATTTCTATAAATAATACAAATGTCTAAAATTAGATATACATGTATAGGAAATTAACAAGGAAATATAGATTTTTGCAATTTCTCACATTAGAGATAGACGATTTGCAGACTAACTGTTATTAACTGTTACTGGCATTAAGTGACTGATACGTACAAGAGAGCATTAACAAATGCAGAATGATAAGCTGAGGTTTCCATTTCTATTTATAGAAACAATTGTTATAAAAATAGACATTCTGCAAATTATCGAGGATATGTAGAATTTTGCAATATTTCTCACATGAGGAGTGGACAATTGATAATAAAGATGCTATCATTTACTGTAATTACTACTTCATTTTTAAAATCATGTTATATCTTTTTCCCTCTTTTAGGTCCATTCACGCTTATTTATAACATGAATATTAATAATCGGGATCCGAAGGAAAGGGGGTGTAATGTTTTACATTATAATGCCCCTAAAACGGGCAAAAGTTTACATCTGAGTAAATGATATTTCAGCCTCTATACATATCTATAAATTCACCAAAAATAAATTATTTCCTTTAATACTTTGAAGGAAAGTTAAAGTTTGTGGTTGAGTGACTGTAGGACAGAAAGAGAGACGAGACTAAAACAATATTTCCCCGATCTTCGATCTCGGGGGCATACAAAATTCTAATAGTGCCCTATGATTGTGATAATACTTCCCTTCTTTGATCATTGTAGATACATGTATAATCTGCATTACAATGCGCATGTGTATTATGTAAATAAAATCCTTATACATGTAAGAGGATTTTCGGTGACAGGAAAAAAGATTTCTTTTCATTTTTTCCCTAAAAAACTCTTTTATATTTTTAAACCTCGTACCAGACAGCAAGAACCCTTAATTTGTTTATAGGAAAGACATTTATGGCCAGAAGGGAATATTTTTCCTATAGGCTCACAAATAGAGTGGGTTACAACCTCGTAACCCACTCCCCTCAAAACTCGCCACTACGAATCGCGCATGGTACTTAAATTGGTTCTAACACAGTGTGCTACAATACTTTCATACAGTTCTATATTTTTTGCACACGCAACTTCGATTGTGCTAATATTGCCAATCATACTCAGGAAAAAATTATGTAAATTAGACTGAGAATCTTTCTTCATAATGCAACATTCGCGTTTTTTTTCTATTGGTAAACATTTTTACATGTAACTAGAAAGGGGAAAGGCGATACTACTGTGTATAGACTTGTGTCAATTCTTGGTATACCAAACACCTCTTTTTTTAATCAATCATTTTTTTGGATGTAAAAAGCCTCATTTTGTTAAAGACTTTGTTGACACTACCAAACGATAAAAGACATTGGTAAAGATTTTGAGCTAATCACTTTTTGTGCCACTGATATCGAAGGTCAGAGGCATATTTAATATTTAGTTCTCTGTGTTATTTTTTCACAAATTTAATCTTCCCTATATTTTTATGAGAAGAAATTTTAGACTTTATTCATAGAAAATCAAAGATATTTAGGAGATCGAATTTTCTTATCAATCTTCCATTTTTTTTTCACGCAAATTTATTTAAGTAGGGTTCCAAAACGTTAACTTTTCTTAACTTCTGAAGGAAAAAGAGCTATATTTTTATTTGGTGCACATTATTTTCCCAAAGTAAAAACAAAAAGGGTTACAAAAATGGAAGCTATACATTTTTTATTAAGGTCTTCCGTTTCCAACGGAAGACCTTCTACTGATTCTGATGGTTAAGATTATTAAGGTCTTCCGCTCCAGGCGGAAGACCTTCTACTGATTCTGATGGTTAAGATTATTCTTATTATTCTTTTTTTTTTTTTCCTAGACGCCAACTTTGAGACCTCATATTTCGCTCATTTCTCAACGGATTTTGCTCAAATTTGCAGGGTTTATAGACGTTACAAAACTCTATCAGAATGTTGTCAAACATTTCAAAAATCCACTTCCGCTTTTGGGTTATTTCCCTTTAAATGAAAATTTAGGGGGCTTCATTTCCAGACAAAGGCTCAGAGACTACAAGAGCTGAAGTAGAAATTTTACCGAATTTGAATAATAGAAGCATTGAAGTTGTGCACATCGGTTTTTGTTTTTCAATTTCTGTATTCAAAATGGCGCTAGAGAGGGGTCAAAAATTAGAACGCCTAAAAGACCGAAAATTTACACATATTTTCTTTTTTATCTTCTAAACTAAAAATATTTTGATAAGACATGTAGAATAAAAGTTGTGCACAATTTTAAGGCCTTTCATTTGACACCACT